GCTCCCCTCCTCGACACCACCGATTCGAGGCTAACGTCATCCTTGTCCTCGCGTTCCAACGTTTACTACTTCTTCTTCTTCTTCTTCTTCTCGAGCCAAAACGGGTGGAAATCAGAGAAAATGACGCAAAATCGCGAGATGAATTCGTATCGAACTCGTGGGAGAAGAGCGAGGCATTATTCGATTCAATTTATAGGACCAAGAAACTCTCTCCTCCTCTTCTCGAGCAGCGACGATCAAGAAAGAGGATCGCCGACTATTTATGATGAGAATGCGTTTACACCAGATCTTCGTTCACACTTTTACCGTATCCGAATCGAGAACACGAATCTCAATTATCCTTATCGGGAAACGCGTTACATTTCACAACACACGCGTCCTCTCTCTTTTCCTTCGATCGATTGTACATTCATTATATACGTTTCACCTTCTCCTCCGGGATACGCAGGAAACGATATCGAGAACGATCGAATCGAGAGGAGGATCGGAAGGTAAAGAAAGCGATGGTCGGCTAGGCTGGCCGGTCAGCCAGTGGAGAGACGGCGACGACGACTGGTTTTGTTACTCGGCTCGTACGTAAGCTCGTACGCGGCACACACGGAGCCTGGGTCCAGCGGTACCCCTCTCTCTCTCTCTGTCTCTCTCCGCGATGGCGGACACAGCCACTGCACGTAGACGTATAGCAGCAGACGTCCGCGGCCCTACAACTCCCATACTTCCAAGCCTCCCCCTCCCCCTCGTTTCGGTTCTCCGCTGCGTTTCGCTCGAACTTCGTCCGTTCCAGCGATAATTCGATAACAATTTTATCGTTACCCACCAGTTCTCCCCCCCCCCCCCGAGTCGAAAAAAAGAAAGAAACGGTACTATCCATTCGATAGATGGAGAACCGCGAATTAGATTAGTTGGACGAACATTTTCCATCTTCCTTCCCCCCGTGTTTCTTTTTCTTTTGCTTCGATATCGAGACGCGAGCCAATTTCCTGGAACGATCTGGGCTGAGGAGAGAGAGAAAGAGAGAGAAAGGGGTGGAATCGCGCGCGACTCCACCGTTCTTTCCTTCCTTTCCCTCCTCGTGAAAGGGGGAGGGGAAAGGAGAGGAAAGAAGAAGAAGAAAAGCTTCACGCGGAGATTTATTCCGGCCCGCGTTTGGCCATCGTCAAAAACAGAAGTGTATATTGATTCATGGGGGCGGGCGTTGTTTACCGCGGATGAGAACGTATCTTGCCCCCCCTCTCTCTCTCTCCGCGCCGGGACATCAATCGGCCGATATCTTAATCTCTCTCTCTCTTTACTTCACCAGTTTTGGTTTCTGTTTTTTCCCTTTCTTTCTTTTTTTTACCAGAGGTCAAGTACCTCTGGGTCGCCTCCTCCTCCTCCTT